ACTTTGTGATCTCCTCGTTATAGATCTCCTCAAGTTTTGGATTTCTTGACAGTTTTTTCTCAGTGCTTTTGAGAGTGGATAAGACTGATTCTTTGGGAGCCTTGAGCAAAGGGAAATCTGCAATGCGCAGTAAAGGCGTGGAGTAGTGAACACCTCCTAGATCCACTTTTATAGTCCTTCTCTCCAACAACTCCAGGGCATATTTGTCCTGTTTAGATCTCGTGGAGACCTTAGGGTTAAGAAAGGGCACGACGTCTAATCTCCAGAGTTTCTCGACTGCATGATACAGGGCAATATTAGGGACATTACAAGTTACAAACAATGACTGGACCACTGTGGGTTCACTGGGCTTGACACAAGACTGATCCTGGGGAAGAATGGTTGGACCCTGCAAAGCCCATCCCAAGCGAGTGGACACTGCTGCTGGGCCACCCCCAGGGCCTAAGCGGACCTTGTCAATGGGGCATACAAGGTGTGGATGGTCAGAGCCGATAAGAATAAGGGGCTGTACCTCCCGGAAAGCGTTCAAAGGCAAATTATGGAGGTGTTTGAACCGCTGAAGGACTTGAGGAGGATAGGTCTGGGGGGCCAGGGCAAGTTTATCAGCGGTGAAAGCATTGTTTATGACAAACTTCTTGGTGGTGTTCGAAGCTGGTGAGATGTTGAAAGAGACTGTAGCCCCATCCAAGAACTCTGTACCCTGTCGCACGGTTTTCAGAAGCATGGATTCAGCCGCCCCCCCATCAAGACCCAGAGCATGAGCAGCTGTGGATAGGAGCATGGTACGCTCAGAACCATCATCGAGTATGGCGTAAGTGTCAATGTCTCTTCCTCTGTAGCTCAGTCGAACTTCAACCACCTTTAGGAGGACCCTTGATGGGCAGCTAGAGCGGATAAGGCAGGAAGTGCTATGTTCGGTTCTTGACTGGGACTGGTTGACCTCATGGAGCACGCCCAAGTGCTTGCTGTTACATTTAGGACATGTTTTCTTTAGATTACAGTCTGTTGCCCTGTGACCTCTTGCACAACGCCAACAGCGATCATTGTCTCTAATCCATTTTCTGATTGTCTCAGGGGATAGACGACGAAAGTCCGGGCAGACGCTGAGATGGTGGTCTGGGATGCCGCAATATGGACATGCTTGGCGGGGAGTTCCGGACGAGTCGGATGGGTTTGGGGAAGAAGGATGGCTTGTTCCATGCAGGATGGTTGAAGGCTTTTGTGACTTAGTGAAAGTGGGATAGTGAGGTTTAGCTTCTCTGAGGGGGCGTTGTAGGTCACGGGACTGCATAGCTATGGCTTGGCATTCTGCTTCCTCTTCGAGCCAATTAGCGAAGTCAAGGAGATTATAAGGAAGCCCAGGTCTGGATGCACGGCTATATCTGGCATAGTTGGCCACATACTCAGTTGGCAGTTTTCCCAAAAGCTGCTGGACATGTGAGGCACAAGCCAGTTCTGGATCACCCTCATGATTCTCCAATGACTGCAGCATACCTACGAGGGCCCGTACACGGATGGCAAAGTCATTAAAACTCCGGGAGTCACTTGACCGTATGCTGGGAAAATTCAGGATGGAAGAAATCTCCCTCAAGACCAGCTGCTGAGGCTGACCATACCTCTGTTGTAGAGCAGCCATAGCTCGAGTGTACGGTTGGGGGTGATGTGCATAAGCCAAAGCCAGGGAACGAGCAGAGTCAAACTTCAAATGGTCTAATAAAAGATGATATTTAAACTGCTCACTCTCCTCAACAGGTACAAGATTTGAAAAGGCCATTTTGAGCATCACAAACTGTTGTGGATCATCGCGAGTGAAAGAAGGAAAGGAAGGTGGCGCGATGTGGTATGTCCTGGGTGGCCGCATAAAGGATTGGGCCTGAAGTGATGGCGGATTGGACAACAATGGCTGGGTAGCATCTCTGTTCACCATACGAGTTGCTGTATAGGGCTGGGTATAGTCGACTGAATGGGCAGTAGGGTGTAACGATGACTGCCCAGACATAGACAAGCCATAAGGATTTAAAGGGACTTGAGATTGAAGGAAAGATTGCTGCATAGTTTGCTGCGGAAAACCAGAAGCAGCACCCATTAAAGTCTGGGGATGGGGGGGAGGATGTGCATGCAAAGCTGAACTCAAAACTCTCGAAGGAACGCGAGGATTTGAGTCAATAGGGGGCAGCACAGGATATGACATGGGTGGTTCTGGTCTATAACTCAGATCTCCTGGAGGCTGATTCCCAGTATAACCTTCAGAATAATCATCAGAAGAGTCAGAATCATTGCCACCACAGTCAATGGAGAGCCCACTTGTCTGGGTGCCTTGTGGTCTAAGGTCACACACAGACTGGTGTGAGCCAGGAGGGGACTGCAGTGAGCAAGGGATAGCTGCATGTGCACTATAGGGAACAGGGTGTGCAGACAATGAACTCTGTAGTTCCTTAACAATGGGAATTTCAGGTTCCAAACGAGCTGTGGCACCTGATAGGGGGGGAGATGAACGTGATTTGGAATCATCTTTGCCCACTAGTGACTGTACAGTTTTCCCCAGGTGGAAAATCAAATCCTTAATTTCATCAATCTGTACCTTTAAGTTGTCAATCTCAGCCTTGTTTCCACGTGTGGAATCCATTTCCGGGGGCTCTGGAAGAGGGATACTTGGAGGCCTCAAATGGGATGTAATACGAGGTGGAGTGATACTTGGTAGTGATGTCACATAATCCTTCAGATATATGGGGGGGTTTTTGGAACGGACAGGTCTTGATGATGAAGATGGAAGTTGCTCCTTGTCCATTAAATTGAAGTAATCCGGTTCGAAGGACCATGAAAAATATAGTGTTACTGTAGATGTGGTGTATCCTTAATTGTACTGGTTCCAGGTAATGGCTTCAACGTAACAACAGAATAAACAGAGCAACAGAGTCCAGTTCAAACATTTATTGTTGGAATCGTGTGTTGGAGTGGGAGGAGGCAAGGAAAGGAATTGTAGTTGATGAATATGGCAAAATAGGGACATGGAGATGGCAGAAGAAGTGGAGGGTGGAGAAACTGGTTGTTCTAGGGAAAAGGGAAATAATAGCGTCAGAATCTTCTGAGAAAGTAGAACAAAATAGTAGGTAAAACTCACAGGCATTTACGCAGTTCTCCACATGAAAAAAGGGAATCTCCAACCAGCTCAGGAGGATCAAGAAAGAGCAGGTGCCATTAGGCTGTAATTATAGACTTGGGTGGAGCCAGGCACCGCCCAGAGGCGGGCCCAAGACAGGCAAGAGATCAGGGAAAGGAAGGGATTTTTCACAAGCAGAATTCATAGATATTATAACTAACAACTAGAGCGTGCACTCTGAGATCACATACCCCATGCACACCATGGAGCATCTCAAAATTGGAGCGGGGTTTACCTTTAAAAAAGAAAAAGAAAAAAGGGCGACACGGTGGCTGAGTGGATAGCACTCTCGCTTCTCAGCAAGAAGGTCCTGGATTCGAATTCCGGTCGAAACAGGGTCTTTCTTAGTGAAGTTTGCATGTTCTTCCCATGCCTGCATAGGTTTCTTCCAGGTGCTCTGGTTTCCCCTACCACTAAAAACATGGACACGTAGATTAAATCCTCCAGCTCTGGTCCTGACCAAGCCGAACATAAACATCTGGAGATGGGTTCCCGGGCGCTGTACTACGGGCACCGCTACTCCTGACGTAAACCTTAGTGGCATCAGGATGCGTCAAATGCAGAGAATTAATTACCCTACGGGGATTAATAAAGTGCACCTTTACTTTTTACTTTTACCATCCCATTCCATCAACTCACAAAATGTCCGCCTGTTGGCAGGGTATTAACAGACCGTAATAACAATAATGCTATTTTAAATTCCTTTGATTTACAATAAACAATCAATCTATCCAAATGTACAGGTTCATGGAAACAACAGAGAAAATACAAACTATAAACTGTAAACTATAACCCCATAGTCTGATTGTGCTCTCTCTCTCTCATACCATGGAAAGAAGACATGTGGGTAGGGCAGTATGCGAGGGGCTTCCAACAACATCAATCCTCTTTCCACCGTTAAGTCAAAGAGACACCTTGCCAGGGTGTGTTCGGTGTGAACATGCCGACCAACCAAAGCCGGGATCACGGCTGTAGTTTGTTGTTTATGCCTCAGATGAGGTGTCCTACAGTAAAGTCGAAGGTTTGATGCAACATCCGAAAATGATTCCTCCACTTGTTGTTGTGTATTTTGCCCACACTTTTCACCTATTGTGTTGTAGGTTGACTCTGTTCGGACGGTGAGAGGCGTCTGGACACACCTCCTTAATCCTCATTCTACAAGAAGGGTCCAAAAAACTTGCTGATTATCAAGGCTGCTGTGTGAAAAACACTTACTTCTCTCACAATCAATGGAAGACAAAGGAACTGATTGCAAACACCAGCGTTTCACATGTCACAGCAGGGGCCACACAATTATATGAAGTCCAACCTTCTCAAAGTGGTTTTAGAGCAATAATTTAGTTAAAGGTGCATTCACAGCTAAGATACAACAGTGTTCATTTACAGGAGGTTGATGCCAGAAATAGCCCTGTTTCTGTCCGTCCTAATCTCTATCTGTGTGTGTAGTGGAGTATGTGATATCGATTCAGATCAACATAGGGAGTAGCAAATCTCTAGTTCATGCCTTTGACATAAACATAAGACTCAGTGCATCTGTGCCATCCTATTTAAAATTTTCAATTTATAGTTTGATTAGCTCAGGGCTGATAGTCATTTAACTCTGAGACGTGATTGAGAAATGGCTCCATACATTATTATTACAGCGTCAAAGGGCACTTATCTAGAATGTACAGTGTGCTTATTATAAAATCAATCAAAGCTGGCTGCCTCTATACTGTGCACTGCAGTTTAGGGCTGTAAAGGTGATCTGCAAGGGCATATTCCAAGGTCGAAGGTCCCTTTTGTTTACATTAATTGCCCCTATGCACTGTTTCATGGTGCCGTTTTGCATATATTCCAGATGACCCTTTGGTGTGCTCCATCTCCAACCCGGACTTTGTCATCTACTCGTCCGTGGTGTCCTTCTACCTGCCGTTTATCGTCACCCTGCTGGTGTACATCCGCATCTACGTGTTCCTCAGGATGCGGCGGAAGAGAATTGCCTTTGGCCAGGCCAGCGGGAAGGTCCAGCCGGGCTCCATCCCTCCATCTGTGGTGAGTTGCACCTATTTATAGCCTAATGGGCCAGTGTTAATGGAGTTTGATGCCTAAACAAGCCTTATTATGTAGAGTCACCTGCATAATGGAGTGTATTTATCTCATTGTTTTTCATAATTTCTTTTGTTGCATCCCCATAGCCCTTATATAGTAGCCCCTTGTATATAGTAACTTGCCATAAATATTCTCTGTTATACAATCCATATGAATTCAAATCTGGAAAGACTGATCAGGCAAAAGAGATGTAGCCTCTTAGAGTGATAATTATTGACATACCCTGGTACATGAAATATAGTTACAGATTTGGCACTTGGACCTTGGCAGAATACCACATAAAGAATGCAGGAGGAGAAAATAAAGTCTGGAGAGCTGAAGAATATCTGATAGATCTGAACATACATTTAGATCACGAACAGAAGTCTTTGTGAGTAATTGTGCAATTTGTGGACAACCCCTTGGGAAGCACTGGAATAGACTATAGAGATTATTGCATTAAATCCCCCGGGGCCTCGACCCTGGGGGTGGTAGCCAAAGAAAAGTGCTGGTGAGTGCTTGTTCGTTGAGGTGATGATGGGAAGGTGGCCCGATATGAAGCTCAATGATGACACAAGGCATGGTTCTAATGCAGCCAGGTGAGTGAGGATTGGAATACAGGTGCAGACGGCGGAATGGGATTGACTGGTGGTAGATGCAGGCGCAGGGAGCAGTGGGACTGGGGTGAGTGGGTGAGATTTTTGCTCTATCTCCAATTGTTCCATAGACATTAAACAATTGATTAAAAGAAATAATTAAAAACGTAAATGGTTTTGAATTGAGTGAGATTTATTGTTGACACTTTAAGGCAAGGCAAGTGTATTTGTAAAGCACAGTTCATTCACAAGGCAATTCAAAGTGCTTAGAAAATCTATGCCTAGAAAAACAATCATACAAGGCATTAAAAGTACAAATAAGCACAAGTGTTACTTTGAAACAGTCAGGAGAATATTTAAAAAGAAAATTTGAGAAACCCTCAAAGGCCAGTACTTGCCCTAAATAAACAGCAGAGGCTTGAAGGCAGCTGGATCATGCAAATAAAAGTGAATTTGCTGCTAGGCCACAATAAGAAAAGCCAATAGAAACGATTTGAATAACTTTTTTACACTCATGGCTTCTCAAAACTGAATAATGATGACAAATAGTGTTTAGTTGAGATTCGCCACCAATGCAGTCCGTCCATTTTAACATTCATGCTGATGGGTCAAATTTTCTCAAATGGGAAGGATGTCAAAGCCCCTCTTGCTCATGCTGGGTACTTCCATTTACCCAGTGTGGTGAAAAGTACATCCATATCAAGTATATTTTATTAAGTCATCCTCATTCAAATGCTTATGAATGGAGTGTGTTGTGAATGCGCCCTTTCACACAGCAGCTGACAATTTATTCAATATTCATTTTAGACTTGCAATAAGTTATGATGATTCATGCGGAACGCCACATCTGGCTCCTTTCTTAATGACCTTGCACATGTTGTTTATGTTAGAGTCAAATAAGCAGCCCGCAGAAGACAAATGATTCTTCTTTATAACACTTAAGTTAATTGACCCTCATCATTAGGCTCCATGTGAGTTATGCTTCTTGTTATTATCTGTTCATAAATATAATAAAGTAGTTAAAAATTCATGATGGCCGACCTTGAGTAACTTTGTTGTGTTTGGTGTGTGCATATATATATTATTTAAAAAAAAGCAGTGATAATTGACACTGGCTTTTAATTTCAGCGCTCATCGACTTGAACCTTTTTTAAACACAAAACTCTAAATGTGTTTGTGAGGGTTTTGTCGAGGATTGTTTTTCACCTGGCTGTATAATAAAAAAAATGCAATCATAATTATAGCAATAAGGCAAAACACTCCATCAAACGGTGGTAGAGTGCAGGCAGTGCGTTTGTGTAAGTCTCCTGTGATTCTGCGTGCACCCACTTAGTGAATAACAAATAGGTCAGGGTTTGTTGACACTAAACATTGATGTTATTTGATCCCGAAAACTCCAAAGTCGCGTCGAAAGCATTAGCGATTTTAAGACTTTTTTTTTTTTCGTATATGCAAGCAAACACTTTACAATGCAGTGCTTATTCCCGACGTTTCTTTGATCCACATGTGTCAATCTCCCAGTCGCCCCAGATCCATCTATCACACAAATGAATGTCTTTATCCGGAGGCAAGGAGAGTTAGGTCAACACCCCCCTGTTTAAAACTGTATTCCCACAAACAATAAGGACAGCTTTCCTTTGAGCCTTGCTTCAAAATGGACCTCAGATTTTTCTCACTCACTGTGTTATTTTCATGTTACACTTGGGTGCACACAAATTCATAGTCAAAGGCCTGGATTTTTGCAGCGGGTCGCAGATAATTGGTTTTGGTTGAGCCCGTTTAGGGAGGCAGTGAACGAGATGCGCTTAAAGAAGAACCCGAGCCTTGAAGGGAAGGGAGTTCAAATGATGCTATAATGTGAGCCTTAAAAAAAAAAAAAACGTTTTCACAAAGCCATATGACTTCATTTAGGGTGAACTGGGAGTCACGAGTTGTAATGTCACTGCCCTGATTTAATTATTATTCTTTTCACACAAGGCAGGTCTCATATTGCAGCCAGTGACTCGTGTCATTGCAGCAGAAATCTAAGATTCAAAAACACAGAAAGATATGACACTGATATTTAGAAATCCGGTCATATGATCTCATGCCTTCTCATCCTTTGCATCTAAAACAGCAGTGGGCAATTATTTTCTCTGTATTCGAAAAACACACATATTGAAGAGAGAAGAGGTCAACATTGATTCCAATTAAAACACAGGTATTTTAACAGTATTTTAATTGGAATCAATGTTGACCAGCGTTTAATTGTGTTTATAGAAAGTATGTTATAGCTCATGTTTTGCATCTAAGGCATTGTTTCTAGTTTCAATCCTTTTACAAGATATTTTTTTTAGAGAAAATGGTTGATTTATTGAATATTGTTCGGATTTGCTTTTTTGGGTTGTTTTCAAAGTGAATTCAGTTTTGCTTTGATTGAACCAAAACTGGACTAAAGGTAGAGAAGGCTGGATATTATAGACTGATGCATTTGTTGATGAATTATAACTAATTCATAATATAACTTCATTGGCTAGAGCAATATTACATGGTTGTTTAAAATAAAGAAATAAAAGCTTTACAACTATGGGATGCCATGGTAGTGCCCAGCCTTGATTGGATATCGACTTCCACTTAATCTAAATAGAAGCTAAATAGGCTGCGGGCTGCAGAGTACGTGACCAGCCGTTACATACTGTTGTCATAGTATACGGTTCATTTATTTATTTATTTATTTGAGAAAGGACAGGCAATACATATTAATGAACATTTTCACAAATATGAATATGCCAGATTATAGCCATAGCTAATTTCCATCTGCAGACCCCCTGGCAGGTTGGTGTTACAACACAAGTTAGTAAAAATCATACAGAGACACTATTTACAGACTATATACAGAGAGACAGGGACAAGAACAGTTATTGCATCATGTTAGAACAAGCAGCAGGCAAGCAAGAGAGGACAACAAAGCACAATGTAGAAAACAGTAACAGAAACACATCGTCTGTATTTCACAAACCCGAGTGTTCTTTTTGCACATGGGATTTTTCTGGCCTTTTAGATTTTCTGCGATTGCACTCTCAGCAAAGGAGAATGAACAACCTATTGAGTGACTAATTTGTTTATTATGAAGCTCCTCAAACTGATGAAAGTGCTGCCAATAAACAGTGATTAGAAAATGAATCACATGGAGGTTTTAGTAACAGAAATCAACCCCTTTATTATCATTTCATTGGATTTGTGAGCTGCACATTATTATTAGTGAATCTAAAAGCGACAGCGCTCTTGACACCGCCCTGAATATTCCACTTCTCTGCTGACTGTTCCTCCGCTGGGAATCCAAATCCTCGGAGAGCGACAAACTAGCACTAGCATCTCTATGTTTAGTACTCATCTCAGAGGCAGCTAAAACGTGGGCCCCTGTGGACTCCATATCCCATTTTACATGAACCCATCTGCAAAAACAAAATACTGCTTTATAAATACTCAACAAATAGTCAACGAAGGAAGTAATACGAACACCAGACATGATTATTAATTATTAATTATCAATTAGAAAATTCTTTAAAGTGGGGTTCACCATAGACTGTATGTAGATGGACAATGCTAACCCGCTAGGTCAATGTAGCCCAATAGTGAAGTGCTCTTGGATGGAGTTTTGCTCCGCTCTGGCTCCTATTGACTATTGTTTGTGTCATATTCAACATTTTGGGATTCAAAAATCTGTAGTTTCGTGCTCTCTCGGTTCCTTGTGTTTATATTTGATAATGTCTTGTCCAGGTATGAGCATAAAAGGATTGACCAATCAGACTCCTTCATTCGAGGGGGTAAACTCCAGTTCTTAGTATTAAGTAGTCCTGAATCTGTATCAACTGCATGGTCTATATTTGGAACGGCCTGAATGATGCTTTAAGATGCTCCAGTTTTATTTCCATTTCAGTTTAGGTACATTTAACCCTTTCAGTCTTTTTTATCTGTAATTGCTCTTGTATGTATGAAATTGTTATTGTTGACTAATGACTGAAAAAAATAACAAACTAACTAAGCTGAAGATGATATATTATGCTAAATTTACTTTTTATTGCATTTTACAACATTGTTCCCTCATCACAGTCACAGACCTGGGGTTGTTTTTAGATCCGCTCATGCTGATATCAGGAACTTCTCCAAGTTTCATTATATATTTTCTACTTAAGATATCATTTCACATTACATCCACTAAAACGAATAGATGATAAAACCTCAAATGAGAAGTAAAGTAAATTGTCTCAATAATGGGAAAGTCTTCTTTAAGTCTTAAAGTCTGTTCATGTCTATTGAAATGAAAGGAGGGGCGGGTCTTAATCGTACAATGTTATACAGATTTATTGTGTCAAAACCTTTTAATGTCTTTAGTACCCCAGTGTTTGAAGCGTATTGAGTTTGACACGCTCTGTCCTATTCCTCGCCATGATAAAAATCCACTTTCCATTTCCACATTTACTGCAGACCTTGTTTTTACCACAGGTTTTTACTGTGACCCATTCCACATGTGTCAGCCAGGTATATTTATGCATCTGCTTCAACGACGGGGACACATATAGTAACACATATATGTAAACAGATGGGATTAAGGCAGAGCTGCTCATCCTTCTTTAAAAAGTCATTTCCATGTTGAACCTGTGTGCTGTCCCTTAGGAAACCTGTCTACAAGAGGAGACTCCCAAGGCCAAGCAGGACCTGTCACCTATCAGGATTAAAGTGGTACGTGCTATATTCATCTGCTGCTTCCACACAAAACTCAGGGGTTTTCACTTTCTCTCTGCTCTAGTTTTCCTGAATAGTGGTCTAATGCTTGACTAACCCGTGCATCGACTGTGGCGAGGCTGTGCTGTTTTTAGCTCCTTGTGTGTACTTTCGCACTCCTTTGCGTTCCTGATGGGTGCAGCTCAGAGGTCCGAGAAAAGGTGTACATAATGGGGATTCTAAAGCCTGCTTGCAGTGGATTCAGTTCCTGCCAAATCGTTCACCATAAACATTTGTATTATAAATGATTCAGACAAAAGTCGCAACTTCTCTGTTCAATTTTTGTCAAAGAGATGTTTTTGTCTTTACTTTGAATGTCCCTCAGTCGGCTATACATAATTTAAATACAGATATTTTTAAAGCCGGAGTGCCTAACTTATTATGAAACCTCATAAAAATAACTATGAAATCAAATGTATCTCACCAGTTCCTTGTTCTCAAAACGGTTTGGGTCTCCCACTAGTTTTCACATGCGTGTAACTGTATTTTTGGGAAAAGGAGAGTACCAGCCCTCGCCCAGCCAATCAGCTCTCAGTGTGTAAAAGATCCAAGATGAAGATAGATAGAAGATAAAAGGATAACATGTTGTGGTCTGATTTGTTCATAAAATGTTGACTCTTTCTTTTGGGACAAACTAAAGCTTCCCCTTTAACTGCTCGAAACAAAATGTTGCCTTTAGTTTTTTTCTTCTCAGACCCCTATATTCTCGCTGTGGACAGTTCCATTTGGAGCTGTCAATGTCAACAACCTCAACAAACAGGCAATGTCAACAAATGTCATAATCCACGAGACAGTGAGTAAGTGAGGGGGCTTCCATCTTGTAGCAGCCATGTTTTTGGCAGTTGTGAGCCGGAGAAGGCTTTGCTGCTCACTGATAAGTCTGAGCCCAGAGAAGTCATTCAGAAGAAGGAGCAGGGGAAGGCTGGGAGCCGAGCACAACACCTCCCACAACTGAGCAAAAACCTGAAGGCTTAAAGGTTCCATATTACGCTTTTGGACTTTTCATTACAGTGCTTTTTGGCCTTCGTAGACATGCACCAGCTCTCTTCTCTGCATTTGACACTTGCAAGTAAACCCTGTGATGTCACATGCTCGGATTCAATCATGCCAACATTCCAGGAAAACATTTAGATGGACCCAAAAGTGCACTTTTTATTTGTCAAGCTAGTTTTTCTTTTTCAAGCGAGTCCTGGACCAGCAGCAAAAGTTACCATAGTTTTTATAAGAGGCAGGACTATTAAAAGGAATGACAGAAATATAAAATAAATAAAATAAAAAATAGATAAATAATATGTAAGAAAAGGGAGGGAAGCGTTTGCAGGGTGCTGAAGGTTGCTGTAGAAAGTGTCCTGGATTCTAATCGTTCATGAAATCCTGCTACTTTGGTGCCTAAAGGGTTAATTCAACATTTTCTTTTCATCTAGGTAAACCTTGGCAGGACATCAGGCAGCTGCATAGAAAGTGCTTCATGTATAGTCATTATCATATCTATACAGTACATCTGCAGCTTAACTTTGAAAAGTTGCGTATAGAAACATCTATGCATTGAAAAGGACAGGATTTTCCATGTGATGTATGAGAGTGGAGTGGATTATCAATGTATGCGTGGACATGAGAAGCTGCAAATAATGTTGGGAAAAAACAATTAAATTTAGTGAAATATGTGGAACCACTGTGGAGTGTGTAATTACTTCACGGGAAAAGTAATTAGAAGTTGGAGAGCAGCTCGCCGTGGTCACAGCTGTATTTTAATTTATTAGCTGTAATACTCAAAAAGGATCAATGAATGAACCATAAAGATGATGTATTGCTTTATGAGACTATCAGCGGCTCACTGTCTGTCTTCTGCTCTGGGCTGAATACAAAGTGCACTGTAGGGGCCCTGGTTCTTTACATTGGCTTTCCGGGCTGCACTTTAGAGATATAATGAAAACCTCCTAAACTTTCTGACTTTTGTTCACAAGAGTTCTGCTGTCTGCTCAAATATAGTTAGAGGAAAGGATTTTAAAAGCAAGCTCTGGTATCCAAACATTGAGGCTTTGATGCTTTTGCCAAGTGCCATCAGTGGAATAAAGGCGTGGCTCAGAATGCCTTAAAAAACGGCGACAAAAACACGGAAAGCTGTCCGTTGTCTCTTTTACTGCCATTATTTTGATTTCTGGCTAAAGGGAAACAAGCATAAAAGGGGTGATAAAGTTTAAGTGCAGGATTTTGATAATACTGCCACTAACTTTGCACCTACAAATCTACAGATGGGCATTTAAATGAGCAGCGCTGATGAGCTCCCAGTGATGTTTACCACAACCCATCATGATCATAATGGGGCATTTAGCAGCTTCAGTGATCCATTCACACGCACTGATTTAACTGCTGTGACTCTCCTGTTCTGTCTCCTCAATAGCTTTACCAAATAGTATATTATGTTTTGTTTTACGCACATGTTACTTATAATAAGCCTGTTTTTACTATCACTCTACATAGTGATTATTTTGCAGCATAATGTCAAAGCAAATTCCATTAATTTTAATAATAGCTTGTCATCAGAGAATTTACAACCAGCAGTTTAATTGTGTTACACGCTGTTATGTAAAACTCAAGTTTCAAGTTCCAAATAATCAACACCTCTCCGGAGTGTAGCCGTGTAGTGGGACAATTTGCATCCGTCGTCCCACAGTCCCTCACAAACACACACTCATTCACCCTGAACTATTGCACATGTTTTTGTGATAGGGGAAACCGGAGCGCCTGGAAAACGGCCTAGAGGTGGAATTGAATCCAGAACCTTCTTGATCACAGTGATTGGCTTAGATATGCTTTTAATGACAAAATTGGAAGTCGGGATTGGTCAATAATAACAAATACCAGATTGTCCAGCGCTAGAGCTATGAATTGAATGGATTTATATGTTTACGCATCGTCATTGCATATCCTTGCTCATCAAAACTGGTGTAAATCTCCTGTCTGCATATCGTTGCACGTCAAAAGTGTGAATTAGGGGTAAGATTAAAAGACTTTGTGTGTACTATATTAAACCAAGTGTCTGGTTTATATTGACAGCAAAGTGTAGAGCCTCCTCCAAAACCCAGTCTGCTGTCGGGATGCCTGTGGCGGAAACGTCCTAAAACCGGCCCTGTGGAGAACTCCATGCTGCCCCCGGTGGACACTCAGAACTACTGCAGCATCAGCCATGCGTCGTGTGGGCGCACAGAGCTGGATCTGGAGCAGGAGCGAGAGGACGAGGGGGTGGAGGTGGACGACAGCAGCCCCAACGACGGGCCTCCGATCCGCTTGAGCTGTGAGGTGAAGGACCTGTCCAACGGGCGCACTCACACCGCCCTGAGAACCACGGCCCACTTCAACAGCCAGCGCTTTCGGACCATGCACGCTAGGGAGAAGAAGGCCACACAGATGCTGGCCATAGTCCTGGGTGAGTGTTCTATGACCGACCGACCTATTTTCAATAAAACACCTGAAAAATGGGAATAAATTCAAACCAACCTTTTTAGTAGCCTCAAATAACTGAACTCTTTGTGAGGCTGAGGCCCTGTAGTTCTGGCTTACTCTAATTATAAGTGGAAAGTAATCTTTATTAGATAGTGTATTTTTACAGACAGGTCACCCAATGCGCTTTACAATGTTCAGAGTTCAGATATTTCCATTGCCTCCACACACGGCGATGATGGAAGTGAGACCCGAACAGACTCGTGCATCAAAGCCCAGATCAACACCTTTCATTCACTCACTCATTACATTCATACCCATGTTTTTAGCGGTAGGGGAAACCGGAGCACCTGGAGGAAACCTATGCAGACACGGGGAAAACATGTGAACTCCACTCAGAAAGGCCCTGTTCTGACTGGGAAGCGCCAATATCTGTAAAGAGAAGGCTCAAACTCCGAAGTCCAGCTACATGTAAATATCAAGCAGGGTGTAGCTGCCATATTTACAGTCTAAGGTCGGGTCTTATAGACTGCAGAACGACCAGCTTTTGGGTTTTAGATATTTGCCGTAAATTCCACTGAAAAAGAGAAGAAGGCACCAGTAATAAAGCACAACGGTAAAAATATGTGTTACTGATTATTGACTTTTCACCTTTTTTTAATATGAATTTAGAGTTCAAACTGGTTCTAGTTCATACAATGTTAGATTTTACTGGAAATAAAAAGGATACATCTTTGAGGAGTTTGATGGATATATTTGAGTAAAATCCAGTTCTGTCTATTCCCAGGCACTTTGAATGAAGAAAATCAAGTAAACCCCAAATACTAAGAATGAACCTTTTACTTTTTCAAAGGCCCACCTAATCTATTTATAATTTTGTGTCAGGCCATGGATGAAATGCACCGTATCAATAAAAGGCCTGAGGTGTAATAAATAATTAACGGACAGAGCCATTCATTACCTAAGAGCGTGACTCATTCATTTCTATTTTATTTCAATCTTCCTCTATAGCAGATATTATAAGGAAAGTAGCACCTGTCTCTAAATTTAATATTTAGAGACAGGTGGTCCGAGCTGTTATTTACTGAACAAAACGCCAGACATCTATAATCCTAAAGAACTCCTACAGTTTGATACAGAAACATTTCTACTCTAAAGTTCTCCCCAAACGTCTAACAGTGTTTGATTAATAGCAGTCTTTTTCTCAGTGCATTCGAGGTCCTTGTCAGTATAATAACAGGCGAGGAAATGGTATGGTTCTTTGTGTTTATTTTTCAAAAGTAAAGGAGTGACAGATTTCAACCTGTAAAAGTATCCTGTAATTGCAGATCATTTGTGGTTTCTGTCAATCTCCGTCTTTCGAATAAAAACAACTTCTGCATTTGACAGCGTGGCAGTGGAACGTGATCAGAGCACAGGCCCCTCACAAACAGAAACATTATTAAAGTGATTGTCTGGAGATTGTCAGAAAAAGGAGAGAGAGGTACAAAAATGACCCAAGCTCCTCCCCCTTCCTTTCTGATTGGTCTACGCCTACGTTTCCGTAAAAATCAAACACATTTAAATGTTAATTGGAGAACACATTTTACATAAACATTATTAACACACATGCACAGAGGTTTTCAGAATTATTTGTCAACGTTTTCATGACAAAAATAATTTTTTTATGCACAAAAAAGCGATTGCGGTAAACCCGGAAGTAGCTATTATGAATTGAACATTATAGGACACATCTGCAGAGGATCTGATTATGGATATAGGTTCAGTATATAAATAATTATGGATATAGGTTCAGTATATAAATGATTATGGATATAGGTTCAGTATATAAATGATTATGGATATAGGTTCAGTATATAAATGATTATGGATATAGGTTCAGTATATAAATGGGTAACTCAGCGCGGATGTTCAGAATTCTTTGTTCAGTTTTCATGTAGTTCCAGAGCCTAAGAGGCTTGATTCGGAGGCTCCGTGAAAACAAACAAACTGAGCATTAGCAGCTACGAGCACGAGCGCCGATGATTGACAGCCCTTGGCATCACTTAATTGGTTAACGTGGACGGCATAGTGGATTCTGAGCTATAGCTAAGAGAAGGGAAGGCGGGACTTACCCGTAATATTAGAATTCACAACATCACTTATTTTATACCAACATTTAAGGCCAGGAGGTCCATTTGTTCCAATTCTTAACATTTATAATTCATTTAGAGTTCCAGACTATCACTTTAAAGTTGGTGAAGCTCACTTTCATAGGGACTTGTTTGGGGAATATTTTGTGAACAATTCAGAACACAACATGCTGTCCTCATCTTATTAGCAAACGTTTTATCTTTTACATACTGAGAGCTTAGAGCTTAGCGAGGACTGGCACTGGGTCTTCACAGAAAAAAAGCTGATCTAAAGAGGACAAAAATACATTTGGAAAACTAGTGATAGAACCAAAGACTGTAAATATTAAGATAGAACCAGACTGTTTTGAGAGTGAGGGACAAGTTACATGGATTTTATTCCAGTTAAATTGTTGTGGTTTAAAAAATTAGGTTCCCCAGCTTTATATTATAAGAGAAAATTAGAGGTTATATTGGGTACAGCCGTTATTGACCTGGGACTTTCTCAGATGAAAAAGAAATGATATTAAAATCTAATACAAGTGTAATAATAACATGGCCAGCCTTTCTGTCTGAATCCATTCACCTGTGGTGCTCTCTACCCCAGACTTCATAACATCGACCCATTTGTGCATTTGGGACTTATTGGACAAAGCTAGAGTAAATCGAGCAGAAATGTCACCCGTGTCTCGGTCGCTGCAGGTTTCTGACACTGCTTCCACACGCTCCAATTAGCCGCCGGCCCGTAGCGAGCCAGGTCCAGTTAGCTCACATCTGGAGCTCTGAAGTCTCATCAAAGGTGTCTGATCATATTATGGCGTTGTGGAACATAGTGGTGCGCCACAAATGGGCTTCTCACCTGCTTCTCAGTATCAGTGTCACATGTCATCGCCTGTGAGGGCTTTGTTGAATCTAAACGAGCGAGTGAGAGCTGTACTACACTTCCCGGGCGGACAAGGGCAGCAGATGTGGGAATGTTATGGTAATTCCATGGCATTTACAACAAACACATTCACTGAAAACCTGGGACGCATCTTATTGGCTGCAATGGCGTCTGTGAAGTCACTATGAATGAATATAACTTTTATTGTGGCACATTTCAACCCTGATCGATGAACTACAAAGTACACGTTGCGTTCAGTCAGATCGAGTGTGACTGTGTGATACTTTCTTTTACTTTTCACACTTGTATCTCAGCTCTTTTTGGGCGTTGCATTTTGAGCTAGCGAGTAGGACCTGGGTTTGATTCACAGGTTTCCTCCGAGTGCTCCGGTTTCCTTTACCACTAAAAATATGTACAATAGGAATGATTGGTGATTGTTAGAAGGTCTGAATGGAAAATACAAATGCTAAATCTGTAAATCCTGAAGAATCGCCACAATACTCAGTCTGATGACAAATCTGAAACAAATCAAACCTGATTGCACCGGCACATGTCAGCCCCGTGTGTCTGGCTTTATGATGACAAGTGCAGAGCCTGTAAAGTGCTTGTAGGAAGTATTCTCCCAGAGTTCCATGGGGGCGTCGATACAAAATCATGTTGTAAGACTGATTTTAAAATGTTTTCTGATCATTTTACAAAGACGTTTACCATTGTTGTACACAGGGCCTCTCACACACACACACAATGTTGCAGATTAAATAGTGTGTGTGTATGTGTGTGTGCGTGCGTTGTGTTCACTGCTATCACATCTAAACAGTAACGACAAAGAAAAAAGACGTTGACAGCGATTGCTTTAGTCATCAGCGAACGTCTTGATAAAAAATAAAAGCAAGCAACAGATGATAGAACATGTATACTGTATTTACAAATATTATTTTAGTTATTGTAGTTTGACATCACTTTAGAGTTTCATGTTCAAGACGCCATAGTTCTCTCAACCCCCGTCTTCACTGTCTTTGTTGAAACCACCTCCGCCAACCGCGCTCTGTACGCTACAGTTTGTGCGTGAGGCTTGCGTGTGGTCCATTTTGAGATCTATCCATTTCAGCGTGAGAATGTGCACAGCTCTCAGACTGCAGCGGGTTTTGACGACGGAGTACAGTCTATTCTGATTTCAAACAAGTGGTAGACTGCACAGGAAACTATTCTCACCCAGAATGATCTTTCATTCATTCCGAGGTGTTGGAATTTTCCATTTGCTTTTTTTTTTTTTTAAATTAAGCAATCATTCAAACCAGAGACATGTGCACCCACAGCAGCGGCTCAGAACCAGTGGCTCTGGTTCTGGTTCAGTCCTGGCTTAGTCCTGGTTCTGTCCTGGTCCTGGTTCAGTCTTGGTTCTGTCCTCGCTCTGTCTTGGTTCAGTCCTGGCTCAGTCCTGGCTCTGTCTTTGTTCAGTCCTGGTTCTGTCCTGGTTCTGTCCTGGCTCAGTCCTTGGTTCAGTCCTTGGTTCAGCCCTGGCTCAGTCCTTGGTTCAGTCCTGGCTCTGTCTTGGCTCAGTCCTGGCTCAGTCCTGGCTCAATCCTTGGTTCAATCCTTGGTTCAGTCCTGGCTCAGTCCTGGCTCAGTCCTGGCTCAGTCCTGGTCCTGGCTCAGTCCTGGTTCTGGCTCAGTCCTGGTTCAGTCTTGGTCCTGGTTCTGTCCTGGTTCTTAATGCTGATATTCCGTGCCTGTCAGTCGTTCCGCCTCTGGATGAGCTCATCTAAAATATGAATAATTTTTTGTGTTTCTCGGTTCATAAAAGTCTCGCTCCCTCGGGTGTATGGGGAAATGTACTGAAAAATATGTAACATTATCTTTAAATGTTTTCATTTAATTGTTTACAAAAAAAACTTGGATTACACATTACAACACGACACTAGGCCTATATCACACCATGAACATCCACACATGCCTTGGGACTGCGGGTGAAAATGACCTCTGTAGCTATAATCCAGATTATTTACATTTGTGTATGTAATGTAATGTGTTTATTATGAATACATTAAAAAACATGAACATACAAACCTCCATCATGTACGTTTACACCACTTTCACATTCATTTATTATCTCATTCAGAGGTACAGGCTTGTGCTTCAGGAATGTTGGCTCAAAACACTGATCTGCCGCGATGAATTGTGTTTATTGGACTTTAGTTGTGATCCTGTTTCACAAAGCGACAGGGTGCCAGTCATTACAACAATCATTACAGAAGTTGTGCATATAGTCCCCCCCCCCCATACTACTCCATGCTACTCTCCATACTACTAGATTACTTACTTACTCCATACTATCCTACAGGTGAAAAAGAATATTGTGCAAAAGTTCATTTATTTCTGCATTTCGACTTAAAATATGAAACCAGTTAAAGATAGACTCATTACAAGTAAAGTGACAGATCCCTTTGTTTGTTATAATGTTGATGATTGTGGCTTGCAGTCCATTTTCAAAATATTGTTGCTTTATTCAAGGTTTTTTCAACATTATAATGTCATATATTGGTTTTGCAGTTATATTGAATCTCAGAAGTAAGAGACTTTTGAAGATATTCTAATTTTAAAAGTGTGTATACTCTACAGCCGACAAAAGCACAATGTTTTATCTATTCACACATATTCTGACATCACATGTAACGCAGAACATGTCAGCTTGCCTTTGATGTGATTCTGCAGATTGTAATAAATGACACTTGTCTTTGTCGTCCCGCTCTCTCCGCTCTCTCGCTCTCTACAGGGGTGTTCCTAATCTGCTGGCTGCCGTTCTTTGTGACGCACATCTTGAACACTCATTGCCCGACTTGCTGGGTCCCACCCTCGCTCTACAGCGCCTTCACCTGGCTGGGCTACGTCAACAGTGCCCTTAATCCTGTCATCTACACCACCTTCAACATCGAGTTCAGACGGGCCTTCATCAAGATCCTGAGCTGCTGAGAATGATTGATCACTGGATAAAAACTGTGACGGAAACACAGTGTGCAATAACATACATCAGGCGGGCTCCTCATGGACAGTATTATTCCCCACATGGTTCCAACCGGCACAAAAACCTGGACATGTGGCGTGGAGAATAAGCCTATTGGCAAACATTCAGGGCATTTTTCGATCAATGCTGGGAAGCTCTCAGCTCTCAGAATTGGCCTTTAAGTCAAATGGATTGATCCCCAGGCGCCCGATCATGAGTCTCCAAAGTTGTCATCATTACCATGCGCTGATGGTGCATGCACGAGTCACTGGGAAAGGGTGCTACTGGTCCTACTTTCATTCTGACTGTTTTAAAGATTGTCATAATGTGTTGATGTGGAGACGTTTGTGCTCACTGTGCAATCATTAGAATTAAAACATTGACATTTTGATGTTGAGTGGAAAACATGTCTGTATTTTTCAAACAGGCTGGCAATTTGTTGGCAAAGCTAAATGGGATTTAGAGCCCGGGTGTTGGCGCTGTGATGGGACAAATGAGGCAGATTTTCGAGTTAGCAGTGTGTGTGTCATGGAGTGAACATCACTGCAGTGTGTTGTAAATAAAGACCAGATTAAACGCCTTCCTGCTTCACTTTGTGTGTACTGTAGCAGAATAGTTTTACACATCCGGAAATTACTGTATAGAATAAAAGGGCCTTGGCATCAGTCAAAAGGGAGTCTCAGAGATGGATGTAGCTGGATATGAACAATAAGAGCTGTGTGTGGGACAAAGCCCTGAAAAGTCAAGTCAATACTATAGATTTCAGTGTGAAAGAGGACAAGATAAATTCAAAAGAAAATATTGTTTTATCAAACCATTTTTCAATATTGGCCTTGATGCTGCTCTGTGCATGGAAATCCATATTTCATCCTATCATGAGTTCAAAATTCAACCTTCAGTTTGTCTACAAGTGAAAATTACAGAATCGTTCAAAAATCCTTTTACCTTTTACCTTGTCATTCAACGTACATTGTGAAACTACTATATTCTTATAGATTATACATAAAGTGAGATATATCAAGCATGTATTTGTTATAATGTTGATAACTGAATCACAGCTTGTAAAAACCGTGAATAAAACATCCCAGAAAATGTTAATATTATAATAAACGTACTGTAAGCCACAATCATCAACACAAACCAAGACTTGGCATTTGTCCCTTTGCTTGAATGAGTCTATATCATCTCTTGTTTTTCCTGCACTTTGAGTTCCACGTGTAAATGACTCCTCTCTGTCGATCCTCTAAAATGTCTCATGTCAAACTGCATCACAGCACTGTTATGTGTGTCTACAATACAATATTATGCAGACCAAAAGAGCTGTAGAATGAGGATGAAGAGTCTTAGGAGAGCATGTGTTCAAGGGTCCTCTCCAGTGAAAGAGGTCAACAGTGGAGCATGCTTACGTTTATGAAGCCGTCATATTTGTTACACCGTTGGAGCTGTGATTTTCCGCTGCAATCATAACCCCACCATTTATGTTTTGTGGTATGCGCTTTCTGGTACACATTCTATTCAAATTCTAATCAAAAGCGCTCTCTTGCCTGGAGGAGGGCACAATAATTATAATGCAATATTAAAAATACATATAAACACCAAATATTATTATACAGGTGAAACTCAGAAAATTACAATATCGTTCAAAAGTCCATTTACTGTAAGCCATAATTATAAAAAATATGAGAAGCTTGGCATTTGTCACTTTGCATGTAATGAGTCTATATCATAGGGCACGGTCACAAAGGTTTTCACAAACAAACTAGCCCACAGAAGTGTGTCAACCGGGCCAGCCCAAATGCGGTGTAGTATAACTCCGGTAGTAATACTACGGTCAGCGACAACCTCAAGGTCCGTGTTAAGTTTCTGATTCTCTTCCTGTTTATACTAGGCTACTGTGGCCAAGGTCAGCACTAGATCATATACGGAATCGTGACGGAAGCAGAAGTAAATATAACCAACTACCTATTTGTGCCTAAACTTAACCAGCCATCCCCCTAGAATAATCCCAACCCACCCTTAACCCTAACCTTAACCATCTTACTCTTGGCCATCTTGACTCTGACACTTAAAACTTGACCAGTCACCACTTAAGGACTTATTAGTCTAAAACTAATTTGAAAGTAGGACTGTTACTTCTGCTTCCGTCCCAATTTCGTATATGATCTAAAGCCGACCATGTGGCCAATCCAGTGGGGGCGGTCCCGGCTCCAAAAGATCCATGACATGCTTCCAATACCAGTCTGGGCCAGTGGGGGAGGACCCGTAATAAGAATTACCCAATGCTTTTATATGGCGTCTTCTTTTCTCTCAAACACCTCTTTACAGGATGGTCCAAAAGTTGACTCTTGTTCTAAAGCTACGTTCCATATGTGTGTCAATGCTAGGGGACAATTATTTGTTTAGACCAGTCTAGTTTAGCCTCTGTGGACTTCAGAAGGCACTTGTCAAATGAATGGGGCTAGTGCCGGCTAACGCATGCGCAAATCTTTTTTTTTTACATTTTCCTGCCCCTGCAGCCATTTTGAAAAAGGCCCATAGAAGCCAATAGTGGTGGCACATTAGTTTGAACGGCGGAGATAGGCGTGACTATGTTCGTTAATATTTACAGTCTATTGGCCAAACAGCCCGAGCACTGCGTACTTTGTAATCAATTGAGAGTGTGTGTGTGTGTGTGTGTGTGTGTGTGTGTGTGTGTGTGTGTGTGTGTGTGTGTGTGTGTGTGTGTGTGTGGCCAGTGGACTCGGGAGCGTGCCATGGAGTAGAGCTCAGTGTGAGAGCGTGTTGAAGTTGAATTACAGAAACAATAAACTTTGGACCAATTTTCTGAGTTACCTTACCACTAAAACATCTTGGTGACTCCCCTGAATAAGTCACTCTGAAACTTCCCAGGTTAAATAAGGGTCAATAATTAAATTTGGCTTGCTTCTGTTTCAACAAACATACACTGTGAATTTTTTTTATTTCTAAATCTGCAGTTATCTTCTTTGCATATGTAACCATTTAGAGTGGGTCTTTGGAGGATAGGGATTTGTAGAAAAAGTGTGAAAAACAACACATTTTATCGAGGCATCAGTTCATTTGGAGACCACAGGGAGGAGATTGGATTATTCCAGGATGCCACAGTTTTAATTAACAGCGCACAAAGCATTTTTCTCTGTTTTGTATTGTTGAACTTTGGCTGTTTTAGGTTTCATTGTTTTCGAGAAAACTTTCTATTCATTTCCACACGGGCAGGTTTAATGAAATCTTGGAAAAAGGCAAAGTTACAGTTTATGTAAATGTACTTCAGCGATAAGAGGGACAGCAATATCAGAAGAAAAGTGTGTTTTCTGTGAAAACAAAATCTAATCTATGATATTTAGTGATATTCAGATGACATCATGCTCTCGCAACATTGACTTGTTTTTTTACCTCAGTTTTGAAGTTTCTAACAAGCACTGATTTGGACTTTCACAACTTTGACAATACCAGAAATATTCCGGATCCCAACACAAACAAACAAGCACATAAACAAACATAACCTCTTTGACGAAGTGAATATCATTTTGACCTATGCAGATGTGTCGTCTGTGTCAAAACAAAGCAGAGTGCAACCCGATTTTACCATGAAATACAGAAATGTGCAGTGAGCAGGAAAGGGCCACAAACAAAGCCTTTGGCATATGGCCCTCGCACTCACCATCTGTCGGAACATGTTTTCTTTAGGTTTGTGTTGCCTGTAAGTGAACCTCACCTGTCTTTCCCCTCACGCATCATCATGCACAATCTTGCTGCCATGTTCGCAGACACACAAATTGATAGGTGGCATACGCTACAGGGATTACGGCATTTGATGCGTGACATAAACCTGAACGCAATGGTGTACATACAACAAAACCGCTGTTTGCTTTGATCCTGCCACAGCAGAAGGGTTTGCCCACATACAAATGTATACTGTACCTTTTAGCTTCAGCTTATTGTGGCACACACATTATTGAGACAGAACTGGGATTAAATTTAAGACAATATAAAATAGAAGTTCTGGTATCGTCCCCAAAGGGTAATTTGTACTCTGCGTTATCCATTTCCTTTTTTCATTGCCACAAAGGCCTGTAAAGAGCAGTGGTCCCGGGACCCATCTAGACCTTCACCGAGGAAACCCACCCAGACACCGAGAGAAACAAACCAACTCCACACAGAAAGACTGTTCAATCCTTCTTCAGGCGATGTTGGCTGATGTGCTCATGGTTGTGTCTGAACTACCATTAAAGTGTGGGGAGTACTGGAATAGTCACTAAGAGCCTATGAATATGACAGATTGAAATGATACGATAATTAAAAAACAATTAACAACATAAAATTGCAAGACTATACAGTATTTTTCCCAAAAATATTTGGATTTCTGGATCTGTTTTGCATTTCGGCTGGGGTTTATCACTTTTCCTGTTGCACAGTCTTTCCCCTCCACTTGGTCTTGGAAACCAGAGCTGAGGCCCCTTTTACATGAACAAGTTTAAATCATGGATGTTCCAGCAGCTTTACTCATAGACTCCAGTATAAATATGTAATATGTAAAGTAACACATCTCAAAAGTAAGTTTTGCATTATGCAACACACACACAACATGTGATTTATATTCCCCCATTAGCTCTTCCTCCCAGTTTGCATTGTTCTCTGTGTGATTGGCACTGCTGAGAAGTCAAAGGTGCCACAGCCCATAGTCACACTTATAAAGCAGTAATAATTCCATACTGGCCTTGCCTCTGCAGACACCCACTCCCCACATCCTCCTCTGCACCACCGTGTTACCAAAGCTGGTTAAACATGTGGGAAGAAAAACATTGCTAATACACAGATAAAGACCAATCTCAACCTCTTTCAATAACTCAATCAATACATAAAAGACGAAGTCATCCGTCTTAAAGTAGTTTAATTGGACCTCACCGCTCTGAGCTGTCAGGGGTGACGAGGAGGTGGGCTTCTTCATCTT